AAGCAGAATGCATACGCAGCCCAGGATGGCTGCAGCCTGAGGGCAGAGCTCCCTGGGGACACCCCCTGGGCACACTTGACTCCCTGAATTTTGGGGCAGACCTGATTTATCTCTAATGGGCTTCTTGTGGGGGCATCTTTCTGCTGGCCTCTCCTCTCGTGGAGGGCCGTGTCCTGCATCTCGGGCGCAGGGAACATTATGTGGAAAGACCTCACGGCCGATGGATTCAGAAGTCACTTGTGATGTGGTTGCCCCCATTAGAAGCTGGAGGAGGGCCGGATGCTTTTCTTGGGAAAGTCCTTGGGCGTTTTCAGTGCTAGACCTGCATCTGACTGTTTTCTGCCTTCTCCCCACACTTGTCCCCGATTCCCTTAGGTCTGGAATTCCCCTGGGGGCCAAAACCCTTCAGCGAAGTTGTGGCAGGGCCTCTGCTCAGAAACAATGGCCAGTCAGTGGATAGCGCCACCCTGGAGGGCTCTCATGTGGGGGTCTATTTCTCAGCACACTGGGTGAGTACCTGACCCCTCTCCATTGTACAGAGCAGTGAGACACGTTTGGGGCAGGCTTCAGCTTTGTGCATGGTCTCAGCCTCGATTGCTAGGGATTTGTCCCCTATAGAAGCAATGCTCCTGCTTGTGTCCACTTCCATAGGTTTTCTGGGGAGTCAGCTTTGGCTTCCCAGGGGCTGGGGGCCTGCACTAGGGACATGTGGAGTCTGTTCCCTCTGGCCAGCAGGCCCAGCTCACAAGGTAGTCTCAAGGAAAGGCAGGACCTGTGAATTGCTTGCACCTTGTGCCAGCTCAGGGGGGGAAGCCTAGGAACAGGTGAGGCTCCTTGACTGTGATGAGCTGCGTCCCTCTTGTTTGCGTGCCTTGTTCCCATTGCTGTGTTGCTTCTTTCCCCAGTGCCCGCCCTGTCGAAGCCTCACCAGGGTCCTGGTGGAGTCTTACCGGAAAATCAAGGAGGCGGGTCAGAAATTCGAGATAGTCTTCGTTAGCGCAGACAGGTAACCGGTCTCTTGCAATCAGCTTGTACAGTTCTGATCAGTTAGTCTGTAAGGTGCATCTCTGTCCCGCCTGTTTGCAGTCGGGGCTGGTTGTGGTGAAGAGTGCTGGCCTTGGCTGCGCTGTGGGGGCAGGAGGGGCAGATCAGACTGGTAGCACAATGTACATTGTGGGGATCGCTGAGGGGCAGGGCAGGAGCCATCAGGCTTCGCCCTCTGTCTGTTTACTTTTGTGGAAGAAGAAACACAACTATCAGGGGAAGGTCCCAAAGATGCTACCCGTTGGACTCCAAGTCCTGTAGCAGGCACCTTGTGGGTGAAACCTGCTGCAAGTCCCCCCCTTTCTTCTCTGGGAGCGGCACAGGCATTGCATGGATGGGAGCAAGGTGATATCCCAGATGGAGGGGCCTGTTTCCTCTGGTGACGGGGTCCGCTTCCAAGGGAAGCGCTAGGCGTGTGCTGGGGCAACTTGCGTCTCTCCCTGGTGAAGTGTTACATGGGAAAAAGATTAGGTGCCCAAAAGGGGGAGACTTTGGTGTGACCCCTGCTTTGCCATGTTCCTTTGCCAGGTCAGAGGACTCTTTCAAGCAGTACTTCAGTGAGATGCCCTGGCTGGCCGTCCCCTACTCCGATGAAGCCCGAAGATCACGCCTCAATCGGCTGTACGGCATCCAAGGTATGGCGGTCCCACCCCTTCGGGGAGTAAAATCTCTGCTCTCCTTTAAAGAAAACAGCAAAGCACAGTGCGATGCCCCAGGCTGAGCTGTTGCACGGCTCTTCTCCAGCTAACACTCCTACAGCCTCCAAGTAAATGGGCTCGTTCTTCCTGGAAACATGGAGGCCTTTGGAGCTGGGATGCTTCATACCTCATTGTCGATCAAATCCATTTTGCTTTTCATGGAAGTTCAAATGCTGTTTTTTTGTTTTTTTTTTTTTTTTTGCTGTTGAACGTGCTGCCAGCTCGGGCTGGCGTTCTCGCAGGACTTGAGGGCAATGGCATCTGGTTTTTGTTAGGGACATGGATTAGCCAAACATGCGTGCATGTGCTGTGTAGCCCAGGACTTTGCTTCCATCTTTCCGGGTGCGTTGGATCCAGGATTCTGCAGGCCTTGGCTGCTCGGGGGAGCGTGCAGGCTCCCACCACACTCCCCATGCCGTACGTGCTCCAAGCGGCTTGCAATGCATTTTGGTTACCACAGCGATTTACATCAAAGGCCAGCATCGAGCTGTGGCCTGCTGGACGTGTTGAGGGGCACGATAAATGTGGCCGCTGGCAGGCAAGAAGTTTCTGGGGAGATGAAAAGGAGTGACTGGTGTGGGCAAGAGGCATCTGAAGGGACGTAGGGTAATGACAACTTGCAAGTACGGGGAAGAGGAAAATGCCAGCGAGGGCACAGGGCTGCCAGGGCCAGTCGCAGGATGCCGTGGAGCAAAGGCAAATGTAGACGTTTCCCTGATAGCCCTAAAGTGAAGCTCAGGTCATGGTTTGGCAAGACCCTCTGGTCCCCTCTGCCTCAAGCCTTCGCCTTAGCCTCTTGCAGAAGGCCCTGGAGCAAGGAGGGCCCAGGGAAGCACACGGCTCCCTGGCTTGCTCTGTAGTGATGTGACTCCCCACCTCCCTGTGCTCGGGGAGCCCAGGGTGCCTGGCCTGACTCTCAAGTACGTTACGGCCTTGTTGCACCCATGCAGCAGCACAGGGTCATAATAAACCTCTTGTGCCCCCTGGGAGCTGTGTGTACGCACCCGAGGCAGACCCCTTTAGCCATGCATTACGTCTCCAGGACCGTGCCTGCCGGTTAGTAAGAGGTAAGCGGTGCGGCTCTTTCTTCCCCAGATTTCTCTGTTCTCCACGGTTGCAGTTGCCCTCTCTCTGACATCCTTGTTGAGCCACTGCTTCCTACTCGTTGTTACCTCTGAGTCTCCTCCATTTCGTCCTCGCTGCTCATGAGAGGGCCCCGGAGGGCTGTGCCACTACGATCCTCCTTGTCAAACACTGGTGTGCAGAAACTCGTTCTGCAAATGTGGCAGTTTTATCATCCTGCCCCATGTCCTGGTCAGAGCCCCATGTCTGCTCTCTGGGGTCAATAGCTTCTCAAGTATAACTGTGTAGAGGCCTGAGATGTCTAGCAGCCCTGCCTTGCCCCTCTCCGTCTGAGGAGAGCAAATCTGCACGTGACCTGTTCTGAGCAAGTGCAAAGAACCGGGATTGTGAGGGACAGTGTTGGCATGTGTTCTCACAGGCCTTTTGAGGGCCTCTGGGGCCGTTTGCAGAGCTGTAACAACACAAGGGCTTGTCTTTTCCAACTCTTTCAGTTCCTGCCTAGTGGAAAAGCTGCAAGATGATCAGGTCTCTTGTTGTTTCAGTCTCCTGTCGGCTCCCAGTGGCATTCAAGAAAGCCGGCAAAAAATGTAAATACAAACAGAGCCACCTCGGGCTTTATGTGGGTTTACCTGAATGCATCCATTCACAGCCGGGGCGGAAGCGGTGGGGCGCACCGTACCCACCCAGATGAAATGGCCAGAAGATCCAGCCCTGCTGGTCTGGAGAGATGCGTTCTCCCATTTCTGGCTTCATGACTCCAGTCCCCTCTTCTGCCTGCTGTTTCCTAGCCCTCCAGGATATGCCTTTCTGGGCTCACTACTCTGGCAGAGCCAGGAGCAGGGGCTGAGTTCTGCATGCGAATCCAGCTGGGGTCCCATTCAGTTTTATGCAGAGAGATCCCGTTCTGTCCCACTGCATTTTGATGAAATGCTGGTCAGCTGGGAAAGCAGAGGGACTGCACCCCCTTTCCTGGTGCATGACAGTTGGACTGAGTCCAGGTCCCCTCCCTTTTCATCTAAGCTTCTGTCCCATGCTTGCTGCCAGGGGCTGCTTGTCCTACTGCTCCTGCCTACAAAAGATGGCAGGCCAGCTCTGCCTTGGACCCGGGGAAGTGTCAGAAATGACACTCAACACTGATTTGAGTAGAGAGAGCTAAAAGACGCATCTAGGTGCTTAGGTCTCTGTGTGTGTGAGTGAGAGTGACTCAGAGGGCTATAAAATACAGAGCTAGCAGGTGTGCAAGGGGCTTGCTTTACAGCTTGCTGCTGCCCTAGATCCTGCAAGCCTATCTCCCTTGCAGATGGGATGTGTTTACCCAGGGAGCTGCAAGACTGTGGCGTGTCAGGTTCTGCTGGGCAGTGTTAAATTACAGCCCTTCGGAAAGCGAGGCGCTCGCCACATCTGCGCCCTGGCTTCACGCATTGTGCCTCCAAGCCATGCCGGGGGGTAGGGAAGGCCCAAGTGAAAATAGCTGCGTTGCGAGCAGGGCAATAAAAGGCTCTTTCCCTTTGTACCACCAGTGGGGAGAAGCAGTAAGAGCTTGTGATTTGCCTGAGAGGAGGGAGGGAGGGGGCAGTCCTGGAGGAGGGAGGCACTGCCCCGCACAGGGTGGAGGGGCTGGTTCTGAGCCCCGGGTGCGTCTCCCCAGGGACAGGAGGGTGCTTGGAGGTGCCTGTGCTGGTGCATTTGCTTCAGCCACTCCCCAGCACATCCAGATGTGCAGCTTGGTGGTGTTTGTCCTGGGGGGGGCCACACAGGTGAGGTGTGAGCTGTGCTTGGAGCCAGTGTCGGGCTGGGAATCGTGAAGGCAGCATCCAGCCTCCTCGTGTGCAGTTGACTCCCCGGCAGCATGCGAGCAGGAGCAGCCTGGTATCAGCCCTCTTGGGGTGTTCACACAGGGGCTTTCCAGGTGCTGCTTGATACCGAGATCTTAGCTCATTGCTGTGTTGCAGCCTGAACTCGCCTGCAAATCTGGCAAGGTCTGAATGTGCTGAGCCTGACACCCAGGTTGTCTACAAGACCTAGTCAGCCCTGGGCCTTCTCTGGGCAGCCTGGCTAGAGGGAGAGCTGTGGAGCTTGTTGGGGATGAGATGAAGTGACTTGCCCAAAGGACACACAGGAATGTGGCAGGGCTATAGCCAGGTCTCCTCCAGCTCCAGCATCATGCCTGGACCGTGGGCTGTGCAGATCTGGAGGAGGCTGAATGCGGGGGTGAGGCGAGGAAGGATGTTGCTCCCTTCACAGCATACTCGCTGCTCCCCTGGACTGCTGGGAGGGCAGGGGGTACAGTGCTGCTCACGGGGCCACGCCTGAGGTGCCTTTTCCAGCTCCACTAGAGTTTCCTGCCTGTCCCTCCAGCATGATCCCAGATGCCATTGGGTGATGAATGTGCCCTTCTGTGGTCAGCCTGATTTTCTTGGCACGCCGCTAGGAGCCAGGGCGCAACCGTCGTACGAGGTGAACGTGGTGTTTTTACGGAGGAATGCAGAGCTGCCTGGCTGGGGCTGGAATGACAGGAATGCAGTCGCTCGCTGGGACTTGCCGGCAAACGTGGAGCAGACAAATGTCCATGTGTTTCATAGGGAAACGCTCAGGATTGAGGAGGCTGGTGAGCAACTCCTGTCCCCACGCATGGGCCTGCAGTGCCTCGGTCAGGCAGCGGCGAGGCCTTCTCCACTGCCCACAAAGTCTCTCTGATGAGTCTGTAACTTGTGGCCTCCCGGTGACTCTTGCCTGGGAACAGCTGCAGTGCAGGTGGGAGCGTGTGAGCTGCCTGTGCCTGCCCCTTCTCCCGCGGGGGGAGAGCAAGGTGCTGCCTAGCAAGTCCCTGGGAGGGAGAGCAAGGAGAGCCAGGTGGCAGAGCTGACACCAGTGTTGCACAGTTGACCTGTCTTCTGGCAGTTGCAGGTGTTACACTGCCCTGTTCTTCCCTGTCTTCTCGATGTCTCTTCCCTGGTGAAGGCTGCTTCTGTCCCCCCTCTGACAGTGACTGTTGGTGCCTAGTAAAATCCCAGATCCTGACATTCCTGCTCTCACTGGCTCCCCCTCGGCCCTGCGCGATGCAGACACCGTTGACTGGGACAGCCGGGCCTCCTCCGTACCTGGCTTGTAGGGCTCTGCCTTCCACAGGCTTCCCAAGCGGAGGCCTTCCCCGACTCTGGCGCCCTGGGCCCCAGCTGCTGGCTGCTCCAGTTGTGCTGGAAGCTGCCCTCTCCTCCTGCACGGATCTGCTGCTGAAGCCTCGCGCTCCCACTGCAGCAGTTGTGCCCCAGCCCTGTCCCCTGCCCGTCTGCTCCACGTTCCCAGCTGTCGAGGGGAGCGGAGCAGCCTGCAGTAGCAGTTTCTCCAGCTTCTTAGAAGTTTATTAGCTGCTCTCCAATACCAAGCAGAGCTCACGCCATGGGGGATGCTGGCATGCTTGAGCCCACTTGGCCATAGTTCAGTCCCCTTCCTTCTCCAGAAAGCATCTCGCTGGCTGGATTTGAGACTTGGGGCAAAGAGGGCTGCAGGGAACCTGTCCTGCCTGAGTGATGGTGGTACGAAGAGTCAGAGCCCCCAGGGCAGGAACCAGCAGAGCTCCAGTGAGGCCAGTGGGCCCCAAGCTGGTGTATGCTGACATTGCTCCCTTCCAGGCAGTGGAGCTTGGTCGAGCTGGGATGCCTCCGTGACAGACACCTCGTAGCCGCGGCCGGTCCTGATTTTCAGTTGCTCTCAAAGGTGCTTTGGAGCGGTCACAGGAGGCCATGGGAGGTTAGGGAACCAGCTTCCCAAGCTCCATGTACACCTGCAGGCTGTGCCTATCCAGCAGCTCTCTCTCTTCCTCTAGCTCCTTTGCATTCCAGCGCGGTTTTGTTTCCTGTGTCAGAAGCACACGCTGTGAACTAGCAAGCTAGGAAGGTCTGAGTCCAGCAGGCTTCAGTAATTTGCATTGTATCTGGCTTAGCAGTGCTGGGAGACGGAGAGCAGGGATCGAGGTGGGGAACATGCACCGGGGTCTGGATAGTGTCCTGTTGTCATGCGGCCGCTTGTCAGCCTTGTTGGCAGCAAGAACGCGCCTTGGGTGTGGACTGGAGTTGGCTTTAACGAATGTGGAGCTGGGAGGGGAGAAGCAGCTGGGTCAGCCTTGCGGATGCCTGTGGACCAGGAATTTCCCTGGTGGTGGAACATCCTTGTCCGTGTCTGGATAGCTGTCACGGCACCAACTCCACCTGCTGCCCATCTGCACTGGATGGCATCGGAGCCCTTTGGCAAAGTTCACGTGGTCACTTTTTATCTCATCTTTGATGCCAAGGTGAATTTGGCCTGTGGAAGTCAGGCTCCATACTGCTAACTGCGCCATGAAGAGAGATCCGTGTCCGGCCTACCCATACAAGTGTCCTGGTCCCCCAAACATCCTGCCACTGCACCTGCTTCCCCACGGACTGAAGCTGGCTCAGCCACTGGTGTGGCTGGTGTTATTGCACAGTCATAGAAAAGCAGGGGAGGGGCCTTTTGGGAGACCGAACAGACTGGGGTAGCCTGTGCAAAGGAGTCCCTGTGGGGCAGGTTCATCTCAGCAGAGCAAGCCGGGGGCTGTTGCTGCGACTGAGCATGCCTCTGCCTTTCCTCTGCCGCAGGCATCCCGACCCTCATTGTCCTGGACCCTAAAGGCGAGGTGATCACGCGGCAGGGGCGAGTGGAGGTGCTGAATGACACTGAATGCCGGGAGTTCCCGTGGCACCCCAAGCCCGTCCTGGAGCTGACAGACTCCAACGCCGTGCAGCTGAACGAGGGCCCCTGCCTCGTCCTCTTTGTAGGTATGGAGCCCTCTTGCTTTTGGAGCAGAGCCTGGGTAGGAGGGGGGGTGCAGGGGCCTTTCTCGGGGGAAACGGGGGCGAGTGGTGGCACTGGGGAGCTGCTTTGGTGCAGTGCAACTCACTGGCTCCATTCTTACAGGGAACAGTAGCGTGTCCCAGGACGGTGGGAGCGGCGTCCCCTCTCTCCCACTAGGCTGTGTAAATCCAGAAGCTGCAGTGAGACAGCTTTCCCCCTACCCCACGACCTTGCATTGCTCTGATGGGTGCCATCACAGCAGGGAACTGGGACTGAGTCAGCCTGGAAACCCCCCCAGATCTCTCCCTGCAGGTCCCTTGGCCTGATGAAATGGAAAACACCCCTTTGCAGGCTGGTGGATAGCACGGACTCTGCGTGGGTCTGTGGTCCTGGGGTCAGATGCCCTGAAGCAGTGCGAGCCCTCCAAGCTGCTTGCTGGAGGAAAGGGTTTGGGATCTGCCTTCTGGAGAGCACAGGGTTGAGGCTGCACCCACAGTTTTAGCCAAGCGTGGGTTACTGATGGGTCACGTAGGACGTGCGCCTGCTCCTTGAGGCGTATGGGGAGGGGAGCACCCAGTGCAGGGAGCCAAGCGGGAGTATAGACAACGGAAAAACAATCTCAGTGTAACCCCTCCTGCTCCACATGCCCACCCCTTCCCGTGTGCATGGGCAGAGCCAGGAACACGGCGTGCGTCACCTGGGGTCCGTGGGCTGCTGCTCCCCAGGGCAGCATTGTGGGGAGGCCGCAGCCTGCGGGCCCGGGTGGAAGGAGGGTACTGTTCCAGTTATTTCCTGAACCCAGAAGTTCCCGCACGTAGAACCATCTCGACGCCGCTCAAGGACGGCTCTTTTCCTTCCCAGCCAAGCACTGAGCTTCAGTTGTGGCTGGTGTTTGATTGATGTTCCTGCCTGTCTCTGCTGTACCTCCCCCGTATCGGAGCTGTCTTCACCTCCCCGCTGCCACCTCGGCTGCCAGGCAGGGGAGCAGCAGAGCTGCTGTTCTGAGGTGGAGGGAGCATGGGTGGTGTCGCCTCACCTGGGCACCTCCTTTGGTCCTCGCAACATCCAGGTGCTTTTCAGCAGGCAGCCAGCTGCCTCTGGCCTGTTACTTCCTGGGCTTTCATGGTGGCGTTTGAGGGAGTGAAGAGGCTGGAGTATGTGGGGAGCTGCTTTGCTGAGAGAATCGAGTTCCTCATCTTACATGAAAGCCCTGCTCAGCTCTGGTCACCTTCTGTCCTTCTCGTATCCTGACCACCATCTTACTGTCCTTTTGTCTCCTGGCACCCGTGCCCTGCAGATTCGGAGGATGACGGTGAGTCCGAGGCGGCCAAGCAGCTGATCCAGCCCATCGCCGAGAAGATCATCGCTAAGTACAAAGCCAAAGACGAGGAGGCGCCACTGCTGTTCTTCGTGGCAGGCGAGGTGAGTGGGGACTGGGGGACAGCACTGTTCCTTCAGCTTTGTGCGTGGCAGCTGTGACCTGGTGGCACGCAGGCCTGGGGCTCTTGCGTGGGAAACCGAGAGGTTGGGAATGGGATCTCCCCAGCCTGGGGCCTGTCTTTTGCACAGAGATCCCCCCAGAGCCAACCCCAGAAGCTTCCTGGCAGGCTGGAGAATACAGCAGACAAAGCCGGAGCCCTGCTGCGAGCTCTGTGTGTCTGGGGACGGGGGTGGAGGGGCCTGGCTGGGACAGAGCAGGATCTTCCCCTGCCTGTGGCCTGCTCCACGTGCTGTGCCCCTCGCTGGGCTGAGAGAACAAGGCTCTGTGCACTTGCTCTAATTAGCCCCCGCTGTGAGAAGCGGAAGGGCACAGCTGGTGCCGAGGGCTCAGATCCCAAGACCTGAGCCAGCATCTCGATGGGGAGGTAAAATGTCACCTTTGCGAATGCCCTCCGCCAGGGATGGTGCGTTAAACCAGAAGGCTCTGAACAAGAGCAAGTTACACTGGGTTAAAGGGGACGGAGGCAGCTTGTCCACAGGTCAGCTGCTCTGCGGAGCTGCTCCTTGTCTGCGGCAAGCAGAGGCTGAGCCCCGTACGCAAGCCCCGTTTCATCCAGGAGCCAGTTGCTCCTGTTTAGCCAGTGCTTACCATAGAACAGGAGCACACACGATGCGGTTCATGCGATGCAGCTGATCTGCAAGGAGTCTCCTCCTTTTAACCCTCTCTGGCCTGTTTGTCTGCCCATTCCCTGAGGTGGGTCCTACTGAGTGTGCCCCCTCCCAGCTGCCCTGCTCTGGGGATAGGCCTGCGGAGAGGGATCTGAGAGGTGCCTGTTAATCTTTCTTCTCTGCCCCTGCCACAGCCGCTGCCAAACTGTGTGTGCAGGGAGTGGGGACAGGATGAGGTGCGGCTCTGCACTGGAGCCGCTGGCAGGGCCCTGTGTCGCACAGAGCCCTGCGTGCCCATTTCTGCAGGAATGCCACTTTACTTGAGCAAAAAGCCTTGCTGCATGGCCTCTGCCCAGAGGCATTCCTTCAAGAGCGTCATCTGGCACTGCTGAGCAGAGCTGACAGCCGGTGATGGATGCGTCTCTGTGGCCAGCAGGGAGGCGACAGCTTCTGTCTGAGCAGCACCGGGGGGGTCCCACAGCCGGGGGAGGAGGGCGAATGCAGTGCTAGGGCCCTCGAGGGGAAAGTTGCCTTCTCCACTCAAGCAGCAGGGACAGGAGGGGAGTCCGGCCGTGCCCTCGCTGTCCGGGGGTTCACAGACCCTGGCAGTTGCGTGCTCTGTGGCATGGGCCAGGCATGCTGGTGGCAGAGGTCATGAATCCTGCCGTTGAGAGCTGCAGAAAGAAACCCTCTTCAGGCAGGCTTTGTTTCAGGGGTGGGAAGCCCTGCCACTACAGCTCTGAAGCTGTGGGGCCGCGGGGGGTTTCCCTGGGCTCCCCTGCCCATAGGCTGCCTCTGTAGTTGGAATAGCTCTGGGAATGAAAGCAAGCCGTGGGCAAGCCTCCGCTCCTAGCCTGGGTCTCTGTCCTGGGCCGTGCTGCTCCCTTGCTGTGTGACCATCCGTGCAGTACTCCCGCCCGCGGGGCCTCTTGTCCCTTGTGTGCGAGAGGGAGACGGGGCCCATCCCACGGGCTGGGGCTGTGATGACGGGTTGATTGTAGGAGTGGCGGAAGCTGCAGAGCGCAGGAGAAGGCGCCGAGAGCTGCCTGGCTGCTTCAAGTGACCCTTGGGGCGTGCGGGGAAGCTTCAGACCTTTCGGAGCCCACACAGGTGACGCGTTCACCAGGGCCTTACACTTCCCTCTGCCCCATCGGTGCAGGCCCGGGAGGCCAAGATGCCTTTCAGTGGGTTGGGGGATGCGTCCATGCTCACCAGCTCCATTGCTGCATGCATCAGCCCGTGCTTCCCCGCACT